CCCCCCCCTCAAAAAAGAATCATAAGGAAAATGGGGACTTAAAAGGGGGAAAATATGCTGGAGACACAGCTTCATGATCAATGCTACTATAATGTGCATAATATACCTCTAAGCTACAACGATTGCAGATTTATGCCTCTGGGGATCTTCTCTCATTCTAATTAAAGTTTTTCAAATAGGAAAAATCAAGGGTAAAATATATAGATTTCGAATTATGTAAGATCCTTAGGAACATATCTCTGGAGCAAAAATGCTCTATGTTAATGTCTTTTAGACTCAGAGACCATATAATTAGAATGATGGACAAAAAAGGACAAAAAACCCTAAAATGTAGCAAGGGATTCTTCAGGTAAGTCCAAAGAATTTATAACACTCTACTTTGTTTATCAAAGGAGTTTCCTTGCTATAGCTCATGGACAAGATAACATCATTCCACACTGTTCCAAGCCTAGAAAAGAAAGCAGATAACTATTTTTCTTGGTTTGAGCCTTCTAAATCTTATGAAAGCCAGAAGAACTCGATGGCAGCCACAGAAAAACTATATAAAAAATAAAAATAACCAAATCACATATATATGTGTGTGTGTGTACGTGTAATTTTTTATTTTCGTGAGACAGAGTTGTACTCTGTCAACAGGCTGGAGTGCGATGGAACGATCTTGGCTCACTGCAACCTCTGCTTCCCAGGTTCAAGTGATTCTCCTGCCTTGGCCTCCCAAGTAGCTGGGATTACAGGCGCGTGGTACCACGCCCGGCTAATTTTTGTATTTTTAGTAGAGATAAGGTTTCGACACATTGGCCAGGGAGGTCTCGAACTCCTGACCTCAAGTGATCTGACCGCCTTGGCCTCCCAAATATATGCATATATATAAATATAATTTTTTTTGGAGACAGAGTCTTGTTTTGTCGCCCAGGCTGGAGTGCAGTGACGAAATCTAAGTTCACTGCAGCTTCTGCCCCGTGAGTTCCAGTGCTTCTCCTACCTCAGCCTCCTGAGTAGCTGGGATTACAGGCATGTACCACCATGCCTGGCTAATTTTTTTTTCCCTTTTCTTACTGCCACATCAAGAATCTGAATGTCCAAAGCCTGGCTAATTTTTGTATTTTTAGTAGCCACAGGCTTTTGCCATGTTAGCCAGGCTGGTCTTGAACTCCTGACCTCAGGTGCTCCACCTGCCTCAGCCTCCCAAAGTGCTGGGATCAGAGGTGTGAGCCACATGCCCAGCTGTATTTTTTAATACTGAGAAAACAGCTAAAGGATTTTGAAAAGAAGCTAAAAACAAGCTACATTCATTTAAAATGTGGGTAGGAACATATATATAGGTAATGTTTCTGAAATGATCTTATTTTTCTATAAAAAGTGAGAAAAAGTCTGTATTAAAAATGTATACCTGACAGGCAGACTTCTACTAGTACTTATAGAAGCCTCTGGGATTAAGTTTTTCCACTTAGAGCTTGAAAACTCAATAGATTTCAACACAGAAATGCCTTCTTCTAAAGAAGACTTCATCCAACAAGCTCTTTCATATCGCTGTTGGGACACACAGCCAGCTTCTTTATATCCTAGGGAAGGGAGAAAGAGAATATAATGAGAAGTGTGGCTTTTAAAACAAATTTTTTTGTACAGACAGGGTCTCACTATGTTGTCCTGGCTAGTCTTGAACTCCTGGCCTCAAGTGATCCTCTTGCCTTGGTCTCCCAAAGTGCTCAGATTATCGGTGTGAGCCACCATGGCTGGCTGGATTGCAGGACTCAGGGAAGAGATACCTCGCAGTGTGAGCCGGCTGTCAGCATTATCGGGGCGCAGTGACAAACGGAACTCTACTCGGCTGGTAAACATGCGGTATGGTTCACTGGTGCCCAGAGTGGTGAGGTCATCAATCAAGACTCCTATATAACCTTCTGTTCGGCTAATCACAAAGGGAGGCTTGCGATTGACCCGAAGACTGGCGTTGATTCCAGCTATCACACCCTACAAGAGCACTGAAATGTTTAAAAGGCCATTATGAACTAAACAAAGGACTATCCTATTCAGAACACTACCTGGAAACAATGGCATGGCACAGGAAGAAAGCAAGTATTGTACCTAAGGGATATAATAGAGGTAGCAAATGTGATCCATATTCAGAAATAGAATATGGGTTATCACTTTAGCAGGCTATGATTCATTGTTTTCAGAGATACCTATCGAATCTTCCAGGGGACTAATCTTTTTTTTTTTCTGGAGCCAGGTTCTTCCTCTGTCACCAAAGCGGGAGTGCAGTGGCATAATCTTGGCTCACTGTAGCCTTGGCTTCCTGAGTTTAAGCAATCCTCCCAATTCATTCTTCCAAGTAGCTGGACCTATAGGCACATAGCACCACACCTGGCTAATTTTTATTTATTTATTTATTTTTGTAGAAATGGGGTCTCATTACATTGCTTAGGTTGGTGTCGAACTCCTGGCTCAAGCAATCCTCTCTCCTCAGCCTCCCGGAGTGCTGGGATTACAGGTGTGAGCCACCATGCCTAGCCAGTTAATCCTTTTTTAAAACCCACCTGTGAAACTTCTCTAGCCTTTTCCCCCTTACAAATAAAAATAAAATAGGCTGGGCACAGTGGCTCACATCTATAATTCCAGCACTTTGGGAGGCTGAGAAGGGTGGATCACTGAGGTCAGGAGTTTGAGACCAGCCTGACCAACATGGAGAAACATCGTCTCTACTAGAAATACAAAATAAGCTGGGCATGGTGGCACATGCCTGTAATCCCAGCTACTCGGGAAGGCTGAGGCAGGAGAATTGCTTGAATCCAGGAGGTGGAGGTTGCGTTGAGCCTAGATCATGCCATTACACTCCAGCTGGGGCAACAAGAATGAAATCCTGTCTCTAAAGAAATAAACAATAAACAATAAAATAATTTCTGACTTACAGGGAATAATAATTTCTAATAAAGTATATTAAAATAAAATTTAAACTTCAGAAGCAATACAATAAATCTAATCAAAATACGATATCACAGGAGCTCAGAAAAGCGTAATAAAGCCATAAGTGATTTGATAATCCTATTACTGGTCAGTCACAGTGGTTCACACCTGTAATCCCAGCACTCTGGGAAGCCAAGGCAGGTGGATCACCTGAGGTCAGAAGTTTGAGACCAGCCTGGCCAACACAGTGAAGCTCCATCTCCACTAAAAATATAAAAACTAGCTGGGTGTGGTGGCACATGCCTGGAGTCCCAGCTACTTGGGAGGCTGAGGCAGGCAGATCACTTGAACCCAGAAGATACACCACTGCACTCTATCCTGGTGACAGAGTGACATTGTGTCTAAAAAAAGAAAAAAGAAAGAAAAAAAATCCTATTATCTACAAAAGCCATTTCCAAATACCCCAAAATAGAAATTGTCTTCTATTAGTAGGAGTTGTATCTAAAATCTATATAGTTAACAGAACATACATTAAAAGGAGAAATACCAGTTAAATAGTCCCTTTCGGTTTACAGTAACATCTTAACAACTTCTTACTTGAGCTGCTGCTTCCTCATAACCAGTGGTGCCATTGATCTGTCCAGCAAAGAAGAGCCGTTGAACTAAATGAGTTTCCAGAGAAGGAGTGATCTGACGGGGATCTAAGTAATCATACTGAACACCATAGCCTGACCAAAGAGTAAAGGCATTAAATAAGTTAACACAGAGTTGGGTTTGCTCAAGGTAGAGAAGCAAACATTACCCTTAAATGCCCTTTAAAAACAGAGTATTTAAAATGTACAGGTGTTGGGCTTCATCTTCTGAGACTATAAGCAACAATGACTAGCTAAGGCCTCCTTACTGACCATTAAAACAATGCTGAGTTTACACTGAAGGGTAGCTGTGATCCTCTTTACCTGGCTGAATCACTTTAGCTTTCTCCAAGCCTCTGATGCATGTGATCATTTTCTCTTGTAACTCAGCTGGTAGTGTCATAGATAACCCCTGTGGGTAGATAAGGTCAGAATCCATTCCTTCAGGTTCCAACCAAACCTGATGTTGACGGTTTGGAAAACGTAAAACTTTTGACTCAATGGAGGGACAGTATCTAGAATAGAACATTGAAACAAATTTGAAATGAACAAAAGAGGATTGACATCATTCCTTAAAGTAGTTGAGCACTGATATTTTGTCCTTACCGGGGTCCTCTTATTGTTTCCTTAACATGACTATTAAGGTGAAGGTTCTTAAGGACAATCTCATCCACTCTAGGGTTGGTATGAGTCAAGTAACATGGCAGCTGATCTTCTGGCTAAAAAACAGTAAACAGATACAATACTGATTTGCTTCTGTACTAGTTTCTTTCTAATCCATACAAATTCCACATGATATATACTTACTTCAACAGACAATAAACTTGTGCATAATGCCTAGTGTTACTTATGAAGTATTCTTGCCAAAAATAAACATCTCAAAAGATGAAGTTACGCTGGAGTGCAGTAGCACAATCTCAGCTCACTGCAACCTCCCCATTCCAGGTTCAAGCAATTCTCCTGTCTCAGCTTCCCAAGCAACTGGGAATATAGGAGTTTGCCACCACGCCTGGCTAATTTTTGTGTTTTTAATAGAGGTGGGGTTTCACCATATTGGGCAGGCTGGTCTTGAGATCCTGATCTCAAGCTGTCCACCTGCCTTAGCCTCCCAAAGCGCTGGGATTACAGGTGTGAGTCACTGCACCCGGCCTCTTTTTAGCATTTAAAAATTTTTTTGACTCATGCCTGTAATACTAGCACTTTGGGAGGCCGAGGCAGGTAGATCACCTGAGGTCAACAGTTTGAGACTATCCTGACCAACATCGTGAAACCCCATCTCTACTAAAAATACAAAAACATATTAGCAGGGCGTGGCAGTGGGCATCTATAATCCCAGCTACTCAGGAGGCTGAGGCAGGAGAATTGCTTGAACATAGGAGGCAGAGGTTGCAGTGAGCCAAGATCGCGCCATTGCACTACAGCTGGGCAACTAGAGCTAATTTCCATCACAAAAAAAAAAAAAAAAAAAAAAAGCTTAATTTGATTGGGTGTGGAGGCTCATGCCTGTAATCCCAACACTTTGAGAGGCCGAGATGGGCAATGGCTTGAACCCAGGAGTTTGAGACCAGCCTGTGCAATATGGTGAGACCCTGTCTCTATTAAAAATAATAGTGAATGAATACATTTTAAAAAATAAAAGCTTAATTTACAAAATATATAAAGTTATAAAAGTAATGAAATTTACGATTTGCCAGGTGCGGTTGTTCACACCTGTAATGCTAGCACTTTGGGAGGCTGAGGCAGGTAGATCACCTGAGATCAGGAGTTTGAGACTAGCCTGGCCATCATGGCGAAACCCTTTCTTTTAAAAAAAAAAAAAAAAAAAATATGGGGTTTCGCCATGATGGCCAGGCTGGTTTTGAACTCCTGACCTCAGGTGATCCACCTACGTCAGCCTCCCAATGTGTTAGGATTACAGGCGTGAGCCACCATGCCCGGCCACAAAACCCTGTCTCTACTAAAAATACAAAAATTAGCCAGTGTGGTGGCAGGCGCCTGTAATCCCAGCTACTCAGGAGGTTGATGCAGAAGAATCACTTGAACCCAGGAGGCAGAGGTGACAGTGAGCCGAGATTGAGTCTTTGCACTCCAGCCTGGCCAATAAGAGTGAAACTCTGTGTCAAAAAAAAAAAAAATAAAAGGCTGGGTTCAGTGGCTTATGTCTATATAATCCCAGTACTAGCAATTTGGGAAGCCAAATGGGGCAGATCACCTGAAGTCAGGAGTTCAAAACCAGCCTGGCCAACATGGTGAAACCTGGTATCTACAAAGATACAAAAATTAGCTGGGCATAATAGCGGATGCCTGTAAACTCGGGAGGCTGAAGTGGGAGAACTGCTTGAACCCAGGTGGCAGAGGTTGTAGTGAGCCAAAATTGCACCACTGCACTCCAGCCTGGGGGACAGAGTGAGACTCTGTCTCAAAAAAAAAACAAAAAAAAACCCAGAAAACAAAAGGCCAGGTATGGTGGCTCACACCTATAATCCCAGCATTTTGGGAGGCCAAGGCAGGTGAATCACAAGGTCAAGAGATCAAGACCACTGTGGCCAACATGGTGAAACCCTATCTCTACTAAAAATATAAAAATTAGCCAGGAGTGGTGGCACGCACTTGTAATCCTAGCTACTTGGGAGGCTGAGGCAGGAGAATCGCTTAAACCCAGGAGGCAGAGGTTGCAGGGAGCCAAGATCAAGCCACTGCACTCCAGCCCAGCAACAGAGGGAGACTCTGTCTCAAAAAAAAAAAAAGAAAGAAATTTACGATTTATGGGGAAATACCCAATTAGCCAAGTTAGCCATTCCCTTTTAAAGGTTACTTCTTTGGGCTGGGTGTGGTGGCTCACGCTTGTAATCCTAGCAGTACAGGAGGCTGAGGTGAGCAGATCACGAGGTCAGGAGTTCGAGACCAGCCTGGCCAACATGGTGAAACCCCATCTCTACTAAAAATACAAAAGTTAGCTGGGCATGGTGATGCATGCCTATAGTCCCGACTACTCAAGAAGAATCACTTGAACTAGGGAGGCGGAGGTTGCAGTGAGCAGAGATCACGGCATTGTACTCCATCCTGAGCGACAGAGTGAGACTCTGTCTCAAAAAAAAATTACGTGTTTGGCTGGATGCGGTGGTTTACACCTGTAATCCTAGCACTTTGGGAGGTCAAGGGGAGTGGATCCTTTTGAGTCCATGAGTTCGAGACCAGGCTGGTCAACACAGTGAGAACCTATTTCTCCAAAAATTTTAAAAATTAGCTAAGCACAATGGCTCATGCCTGTGGTCTCAGCTACTCGAGGGTACTGAGGTGGGAGGATCACTTGAGACAGGATGCCAAGGCTGTAGTGACCCATAATTGCACCACTGCACTCCAGCCTAGGTGACAAGGTGAGATCCTATTTCAAAAAAAAAAAAAAGGACAAGAAAAAAAAGAACACTTCTTTGCACTATAAGCAATAGTGCTATAAAGTGAATGGCTGCCACAAAAAAAAAGTTACAGTACCTCCTGCTGTTACTAGCCAATATGAGCTGTGAGACAGGTTTTCATAACATATCTTACCTTAATCCATACTGTCTCATTCATAAAGCTGAACGGTAAGGATGGATTGTCCGGTGTCTGCTTGTTTAGAATACTGAAATTAATGGACTCTTTGGCAATTCGGGGTGGAGTCCCAGTCTTCAACCTTCCCACCACAAACCCTAACTTCTCCAGCGTCTGAGCCAATCCTATAGAAGGCTGATCCCCTAAACGTCCTGCTGGATGCATCTCCAATCCAATTATAATCATGCCTCTCAGAAATGTCCCGGTAGTCAGAATCACACTCTCTGAATATACTGTGCTTCCATCCACTAAATAACAGAAAAAAAGAATAAAGTCATTTTTAAATTGTTACCATGGATCGAAATAGAATGTGACTATTTTACATTAGAACTACAGGAAAACTATCAGTCTTTTGAAACTTGAGAATCTTTTCTAATCTTATTTTTGTTTCTTTCAAGCATTACTGATGTATAACAGACATTAAAAATATACTAAATAGGCCGGGCGCGGTGGCTCAAGCCTGTAATCCCAGCACTTTGGGAGGCCGAGGCGGGTGGATCACGAGGTCAAGAGATCGAGACCATCCTGGTCAACATGGTGAAACCCCGCCTCTACTAAAAATACAAAAAAAAATTAGCTGGGCATGGTGGTGCGTGCCTGTAATCCCAGCTACTCAGGAGGCTAAGGCAGGAGAATTGCCTGAACCCAGGAGGCGGAGGTTGCGGTGAGCCGAGATCGCGCCATTGCACTCCAGCCTGGGTAATATGAGTGAAACTCCGTCTCAAAAAAAAAAAAAAAAAATATACTAAATATACTTAAAGTAAGCATCATGGTGTTTTGATACAAGTATATCTTCTGTGATGATACCCATAATCAAACTAACATAACCATCACCTCACATAGTTACATGTTTTGTGTGGTGAGAATACTTAGATCTACTCCCTTAACAAATTTCAAGTATATAGTACAATATTATTAACTACAGTTACTATACTGTACATTAGATCGCTAGAACTTATTCAACTTACAGCTGAAAATGTGTAGCCTCTGAGCAATATCTCTCATTTCCCCTATCCCAGACTAAGGATTTTAAATGAGTAAGAAGGCTATATGTTATCAATCTCAAGAATCTAAGCAATCTAGGAGAGAGAATACAATGTGTTATCACCAATTCACATACACCTAAAATCATATAAACACTAAAAAGTTAGTCTCAATTAATTGAAAAAATTAATTTAGACTTCAGGATAAATATGCTATACAACCTCACATTTCTTCTCCCTTCTAAAACTCAAAGAAAATAAAATAGGGGAATAAAAACAGTATAAAACCAAAAGGACAAGTAATGGAAAAGAACTAGTCAAAAGATAAGAAATTTCAACATATTTTTGAAAGATAGTAAGTGGTTGGAAGAATGGAGAGGGGAGATAACTATAACTTAAGTATTGCTATCTGAAGAGAAGATATCAATGAGAATGAACTAATTTGCCCTGCAAAGTCTCAGAAATTGGAGAACTGAGAGTAAGAACTGAGGAGGAATACAGGAATTAAACTTAGGCCAGAAAACGAAAGAAACAGCTGAAATCTACACATTAAGGTTTTGTCCCCAGATAGATCTACCTTACAGTAAAATGGAGGTTTAGTCTTCAGGTAATGGGGACTTTTTGTTTAAAGGGTACAGAATTTTAATTTTGGATGATGAAAAAGTTCGGGAGACAGTTGGTGGTATGGGTGCACAACACTGTGAATATACTTAATAGCATTGAAATGTACACTTAAAAATGGTTAAAATGGTACCTTTTGTAGTATATATATTTTACCACAAAGAAATTGGAGAAGGCTGGGTGTGGTGGCTCATGCCTATAATCCGAGCACTACAGGAGGCAGAGGTGGGCAGATCACTTGGGGTCAGGTGTTAGAGACCAGCCTGGCCAACATGGTGAGACTCTGTCTCCACTAAAAACAAAAAAATTAGCTGGGCATGGTAGCAGGTGCCTGTAATCCCAGCTACTCGGGAGGTTGAGGCAGGAGAATTGTTTAAGTCCGGAAGGTGGGAGTTGCAGTGAGCCGAGATCGTACCACTGCACTCCAGCCTGGGTGATCTCAAAAATAAATAAAATAATTTTTATTTTTGAGATAGAGTCTTGCTCTGTCACCAAGCTGGAGTGCAGTGGCACAATCTCAGCTCACAACAACCTCCAACTCCTGGAGTGATTCCCCTGCCTCAGCCTCCCAAGTAGCTGGGACTACAGGCACCACGTCACCATGCCCAGCTAATTTCTGTATTTTTAGTAGAGAGGAGGTTTCACCATGTTGGCCAGGATGGTCTCAATCTCTTGACCTTGTGATCTGCCTGCCTCAGCCTCCCAAAGTGCTGGTATTATACGCATGAGCCACTGTGCCTGGCCAAAATAATTATTAACTCAAGGCAAAACAAAATGTATGAAAGGGACAAATATAATACAATTCTATGCAGTACAAAATACTTAGTCAATAATGTAAATACTATCAATCAAAAATTATAGTATAATTATATCACAAGGAGAGAGGAAAGGGAAATTGGATATTAAAGAAAATTACCATAATAATAAGTTAATAAATAGGCCACGCTCAGTGGCTTATGCCTGTAATCCCAGCACTTTGGGAGGCTGAGGCGGGTGGATCACTTGAGGTTAGGAGTTCATGACCAACCTGACCAACATGGTGAAACCCTGTCTCTGCCAAATGAGACTCTGTCTCAAAAACGGTTAATAGATAATGTCTAGAACTATAAATCAGGAAGTAAAAATATAAGCCTGTTATTTAGAAATATGGAAGTATATACTATAAGTGACAACTAAAAAAGTTGAAGTGGGCCATTCGTGGTGGCTCATGCCTGTAATCCCAACACTTTGGGAGGCCGAGGCGGGCAGATCAAGAGGTCAGGATATCGAGACCAGCCTGGCCAATATAGTGAAACCATGTCTCTAATAAAAATACAAAAAATTAGCCTGGTGTGGTGGCATGCACCTGTAGCCCTAGCTACTCAGGAGGCTGAGGCAGGAGAATCACTTGAACCTGGGCGGTGGAAGTTGTAGTAAGCCAAGATCGTGCCACTGCACTCCAGCCTGGGAGACAGAGCGAGACTCTGTCTTTAAAAAAAAAAAAAAAAAAAAAAAAAAGTTGAAGTGGCTGTCTCCAGGGAAGGAGATGGTTGTTTTTCCACATAAATTTCTGAATTTCATTTATGTATTTTTGACACAGGCTCTCACTCTGTTACCCAGGCTAGAGTGCAGTGGCATAATCTCAGTTCACTGAAGTCTTGACCTCCCACTTCAGCTTCTTGAGCCTGAGACGACAGGCACCTGCTACCATGGCTGGATAACTTTTGTATTTTTTTTGTAGACATGAGATTTTGACCTCTTGCCAAGGCTGGTCTCAAACTCCTGGGCTCAAGCAATTCACCTGCCTTGACCTCCCAAAGAGCTAGGATTACTGGCATGAGCCACCATGCCCAGATTCTCTAAATTTTTTTTAAAAAATTATATGCATGAGTTACTTTGATTAAAAAAAAAACTAAATATATAACTATTTTGTATAAAAATATACATAAGGTGTTAAAATATAAATTTTTAAAAATTTGAAGTCAGAACCAGAAAAAAATAGAAATTACAATAGAAAGATGGGGAGAGAGGGAGACATAAACGTGCAGATTATAAAGTTCCACACTAAGATGGAACCCGGTATTGATGAGCCCAGAATTTGACTGAGCATCATAAATGCCAAGATGAAAAAGAGAAATTACATTTATTTATATAGTTTTCCTCATCCAGGAAGAGAAAATGCAACAATTTCCTTGAATAAGCAAAATATCTCCATACTTTGCTCTAAAATAAATTTCTCACATGTAATTTGATATGCTGTTATCACATATCATCTATAACCAATACATACCCAAAACAACACCACTGACACGGCATTTTCCAGTGTGTTCAGGCTCTGGTTCTGTAAGAATAAGATCTTCTACAGCTCCCTCCTGAACAGTAAGCAGTGGTGTACTCAAGATTTCTTTCTGTCAAAAGAAAATGCCAGTTGAAACATGGTAATTAAACCATAACTATAATCTTTCCTGTGCTCATGCCCTATTCTTACCTGCATGTTCTGTTTATAGAGTTTCCTATCAATCTGAGCTCTCAGACCCCACACAGCTGGTCCCTTACACCGATTTAATACTTTGTAATGTACACCAGACTGGTCACAGATGCGAGAACACAGGCCATCCAAGGCATCTACTTCCCTCATTAAATGCCCCTTTCCAATGCCACCAAAGGAAGGATTGCATGACATCTGACCTAAAGAGAATAGACATAAATAAATATATAAGCACCTGGCACATAGTGAGTATTTAATAAGGAAATATTTGTACAGGTGACTATAGTCTTCTCATACAATAAAAAATAGAAACCATGAGTGACCACCTGCACCCAGGTGAATAAACAGCTATGTTGTACACACACACACACACACACACACACACACACACACACACACACACACAAAGGCTGACGCCCTTTTCGGCCTCAGCCCACCTGCACCCAGGTGAATAAATAGCTGTTGCGTACACACACACACTTAAAAAAAAAAACATGAAAGATATGTTACAAAGAAAATTCCACAGGTCTGCTTATACCTAAGAAAAAAATAGTAATAATTAAAAAAAGAAAATTCCAAAGTCCCAATGGGATGCAAAAGTGTCCAGGGCAACCTGGAAGACAAATCACTGCCTGAATTTTCTTTTGTGTTTTTTGAAGTGAAGTCTCACTCTATTACCCAGTGCAATGGTGCAATCTCGGCTCACTGCAACCTCTGCCTCCCAGGTTCAAGCAATTCTCCTACCTCAGCCTCCTGATAGCTGGGATTACAGGTACCTGCCACCACACCTGGCTAATTTTTATATTTTTGATAGAGATGGGTTTCACCATGTTGATCAGGCTGGTCTCAAACTCCTGACCTCAGATGATCTGCCCACCTTGGCCTTCCAAAGTGTTGGGATTACAGGTGTAAGTCACCTTGCCCGGCCTGAACTTCCTTTTGAATCTCTTCCTTGATGCATATTTTTAGTTTCACTAGGTTGCTTTTTCCTTTCAAATGTATAATCCTTACCCCATGAAACCTTCCTAAATCAAGTACAATTCATTTTATTTATTTACTTGTTCTTTTTTGAGACAGCACCAGAGGAATCTACGAAATCAAGCACACTTCTAAGAAGTCCCTAGTGCTTCAACATAAATAAGGACAAAAAAAAAAAAAACAGGGCTGGGCGTGGTGGTTCATTCCTGTAATCCTAGCATGTTGGGTGGCCGAGGCAGGAGGATTGCCTGAGATCAGGAGTTTGAGGCTAGCCTGGGCAACATGGTGAAACCTCATCTCTGCTAAAATACACAAAAATTAGCCAGGCATTGCAGGGTGTGCCTGTAATCCCAGCTACTTGGGAGGCTGAGGCAGGAGAATCGCTTGAATCCACCAGGTGGAGGTTGTAGTGAGCTGAGATCCCACCATTGCACTACAGTCTGGGCGATAGAGACTCCGTCTCAAAAAAGAAAAAAAAAAAAAAAAAAAAACAAACAAAGAAGCCCCTTGACACTGGTTCAGTTACAAGCAATTATGTCTTCCATAAATGCCATCTGATATTTTCTTTTTGCACTTACTTTGCAGAATTAAATATAATGAAATTACAAATTTCTTGAAAGTGGAGACCATATTGGATACCTTCCTCGTCTCTTTTATTTATTTACTTTATTTTTTTTCAGTTGTGGCATATACCTTTGCAAATAACCTTCCTCTTACATTTACCCAGTCTTACTTGGAGGTCTAATCCCGTGTGGTTACCTCAAAGGTTTATATGGGAGGTGGAGTGATGGGCAAGTTGGGTCTACATCTACATGTCCACTGCCACCACCATCAAAGCCTCCAAAAATTTTAATGGTTTCCACAGTGAGGCTGCATAGCACTGTGATCATCGGCATGAAGTGTGTCATTATGAGGAGTGTGTGTGAAAGAGATCTGGTTCGGCTGGGAGCAGTGGCTCATGCCTGTAATCCCAGCACCTTGGGAGGCCCAGGCAGCTGGATCATGAGATCAGGAGATCAAGACCATTCTGGCCAACATGGTGAAACCCCATCTCTACTAAAAATACAAAAATTAGCTGGGCATGGTGGTGTGTGCCTGTAGTCCCAGCTACTCGGGAAGCTGAGGCAGGAGAATCCCTTGAACCAGGGAGTCGGAGGCTGCAGTAAGACGAGATCGCACCACTGCACGCCAGACTGAAGTCAGAGCGAGACTCTGTCTCAAAAAAAAAAAAAAAAAGAAGAAAGAAAGAGAGAGAGATCTGGCTCAATTTCTAGACCTACTACTTATGAGCTCTGTGATCATGGCAAGTTACCTAATATACCTCAGTCTCTCTACTGTAAAAACAGGAATGACAGCTGTGGTAGATTATTTTCCTCCTTCTTCCTTTCAACTAAAAGACTCCTGAGCTCCCCAAATGCTGGGATTACAAGTGTTAGCAACCAACCCTGACCTAGGTCTTTACTATTATTTTTTAAAAATATGGAACGCTTCACGAATTTGTGCGTCATCCTTGTGCAGGGGCCATGCTAATCTCTGTATCATTCCAATTTTAGTATATATGTTGCTAAAGCGAGCATTAGGTCTTTATTTTGTAAAAATGTAAACAACAGGCTGAGTGTGGTGGCCCACGCCTTTTACTCCAGCACTTTGGGAGGCCCAGGTGGGTGGATCACCTGAGTTCAGAAGTTTGAGACCAGCCTGGCCAACACATGAAACCCCATCTCTACTAAAAAAAAATACAAACAATTAACTGGGTGTGGCACCTATAATTCCAGTGACTAGGGAGATTGACGCAGGATAATTGCTTGAACCCAGGAGGCAGAGGTTGCAGTGAGCAGAGATCGTGCCACCACTGCACTCTAGCCTGACAACAAAACCAAAACTCCATCTCAAAACAAAAACAAAAACAAAAAAAGCCCACACTGAAATGTATAATGAGAAAAGTATAATCTTTTGGGAAATCATACAGCCTCCTGTCCCCCACCCACAAAACCGCATTTAATAGTATATATTTCTTCATAGTTATGAGCTGAATGGTAATTTTAAAGAAAGATTTTGAAACTAAACACGTGATTCATTCACAACTTTTACAAAACAAGTACATATTCTAATTACTGCTCGCTCCTAAGCAAAACGCAGGAGGAAAGACAGAGGCATATATAATTTACAAGTTGATGTTTTCACCAGTATCTATCATGATGCTACAGAATGGTCATACAACCATTACCCATTAGAGCAAATAAAGTACTGTCCCAGTACTAAGCACAAAATCCAGGGACGACACCCAGAAGGAATATAGGAAGCAAAAAGTAGCATGGTTCTTCAAAAGCGCGTCACAAAATCTTAACAGAAACACAAAGATCAGGCTGGGAAGGGTGCTGTGCATCTCCAATCCCAGCTACTCGTTAGGCCCAGGCGGGAAAACTTGGGTCCAGAAGGCGGAGCCTGTGTAATGGGCAATGATCCCGCCCGTGAATAGCCACTGCACCGCAGCCTGGGCAATATAGCAAGACCCTGTCTCTGAAAAATATTTTTTAAAATAAAAACACAAGGACCATTTAATAAATGATTTATCTTTTTATTATTATTATTTTTTGAGATAGAGTTACGCTCTTTCGCCCAGGCTGGAATGAAGTGGCGCGATCTCAGCTCACTGCAACCTCCACCTCCCCGCGGATTCAAGTGATTCTCCTGCCTCAGCCTCCCGAGTAGTTGGGATTATAGGCGCCCCGCTATAAGTCAGCCAACCACGCCTGGATAATCACTGTGTTTTTAGTAGAGACGGTATCTCACCATGTTGGCCAAGTTGTTCTCAAACTCCTGACCTCAGGTGATGCACCCCCCTTGGCCTCTGAAAGTGCTGGGATTAAAGGAGTGAGCCACTGCGCCTGGCTATTGTTAATAATGTTAATTCACCCTTTATCTAGAGTAACATAGTCAAAGGCAAACGCAGCAATGAACTAAGAAGCTACCTGGGAGTATTCTTGAAGTTTCTCCCTTTCCTAAGGCACGGACCCCAACCCCCAACCTCCCACAACGGACTATTGTTAGCAGCAGCACAATCTATGGTTCGCAGAACAGACTAATCCAGAGTTCTGGCCCGGCCCGCTTGATTCCTGCGAGACACTGATCGAGTCTAAAACCACAGAAGGTAGGATTCTCACTAGCTGTGAGGGAGGGAAGAGGTCCCCTACTTCAGACCCGGAGAGGTGGGAAGGAAGCAGCCTGGGTCCTACAGAAGTTCCACAGAACCCACTCTCCTCACCGATCGTGTCCACGCGATGCGTGAGGAGCAAAGTCCGAGAGCCGCACCGAGCGGCGGCAGTGGCTGCCTCAGTCCCGGCATGTCCTCCACCAATGACTATCACGTCGAAGTGCGGAGTCCGGGGCCCCGCGCTGTCACTGCTCAACCGGGGCAACGGAAACTGCCGCTTGGTGAAGGAAGCCGCGACCCGACCGCCACAGCCTCGGAAGGAGAACATGCTGGGTGAAAATCTGACTTTGAAACTGACAGGAGGGACGGGCAAAAAAAACTTAAGTAACAAGAGAGAATCTGTAGGGCGCAGCCATCTTGCCTCAATGTGACGGCGTAGCACGTCTACGTCCAGCGTCGCCGCTGATTGGCTGTTTGGAGCTACTTTCCGTGTGAGGGAGATAGGTGATAGCGCTGAAGGCCAGTTGTGTATTTTCTTTCCTAGTTCTTGCGGGCTATTTGATTTCCTGTGGTTCTGGGTTGGGAGCCCCTACTAAAGGTCATCTTTTGCCCTTTTTCAGGCCTGCAATCCTCATCGCCGGGTAGCCACCTACGATCAATGAATTTGATCAAAGTTTGCCTTATTAGATCTTTGTAATCTGTAATCTGACACAATGTCACTTTCTGTTTGTCTATAAGAACTAAAGGCTGGAGGCCGGGCTTGGTGGCTCATGCCTGTAATCCCAGCCTTTTGGGAGGCCGAGACGGGCGAATCACGAGGTCAGGAGTTCAAGACCAGCCTTGCTAACATGGTGAAACCCTGTCTCTACTAAAAATACAAAAATTAGCTGGGCATAGTGGTGCGTGCCTGTAATCCCAGCTACTTGGGAGGCTGAGGCAGGAGAACAGCTTGAACTGGGACCTGACAGGCAGAGGTTGCTGTAAACCGAGATCACACCACCGCACTCCAGCCTGGGCTACAGAGTGACACCCCGTCTCAAAAACAAACGAACAACAACAACAACAACAACAAAAAACTAAACTAAAAGCTGAAAATAAGAACAGATTCAGACGGGGTGTGGTGGCTCATGCCTGTAATCCCAGCACTTTGGAAGGCCGGAGAGGGTGGATCAGGAGGTCAGCAGATCAAGACCATCCTGGCCAACATGGTAAAACTCCGTCTCTACTGAAATCACAAAAATTAGCCAGGCATGGTGGCACGCGCCTGTAATCCCAGCTACTCAGGAGTGTGAGGCAGGAGAATCACTTGAACCCGGGAGGCAGAGGTTGTAGTGAGCCGAGATTGCGCCATTGCACTCCAGCCTGGGCAACAAGAGCTAGACTCTGTCTCAAACAACAACAACAAAACAACAACAATCAAAAGGAGTTCAAATATATTTGTGAAGGAAATATTCATGATGGCTAATTAGAAGAATCCCTCGGTTGGAGGTTAAATGTCCAGCCTTTTGGAATTCACAGCCTTTCTCAGAAAGGAAAGGTTTGACTAACTGAAGGGTGAAACAAGTGTGGCAGGTTTTTTTGTTCTAATTATAAAAAGTATCAAATACATAGGCAGGCATGGTAGCTCATGCCTGTAATCCCAGCACTTTGGGAGGCCAAGGAGGTGAATCACTTGAGGCCAGGAGTTTGAGACCAGCCTGGCCAATATGGTGAAACCTTGTCTCTACTAAAAATACAAAATTAACTGGGCATGGTGGTGTGCACCTGTCGTCCCAGACACTTGGAAGGCTGAGGCAGGAGAATCACTTGAACCCAGGAGGCAGAGGTTGCAGTGAGCCCAGATTGTACCACTAGGCAACTGAGCGAGACCCTGTCTCAAAAACAAAACAAAACCCCGCAAAACAAAATGAAACTAAACATTATTCATTATTATTATTTTATTACTATTATTATTTTTCAAAATAGGATCTCACTCTGTTGCCCAGGCTAGAATGCAGTGGCACTATCATGGCTCACTGCAACCTCTACCTCCTAGGCTCAAGCAATCCTCCTGCCTCAGGCTCCCCAGTAGCTAGGACCATAGGTACGGGCAGACACTTGGCCTGGCTAATTTGGTATTTATTTTATTTTAGTTTTGGTGACACAGGGTTGGAGAAGGGGGTGTCTCACTATGTTGCCCAGGCTGGTCTTGAACTCCTGGTCTCAAGCAATCCTCCCAAAGTGCTGGGATGACAGGTGTGAGCCCTGCTTCCAGGCTGTTTTTGATATTTTTTTATTTAAAATTTTTTTTTTTTGCCTTCTGCAACATCATTTACATACCTTTTATATTTTTTATTAAAAATTAGATCATAGTATATGCATTGTTTTGTAATCTAGTCTTAATAATCATGAACATTTTTCTATCAAAAAAATAATAACTTAAGACATAAGGAAACTCTATATGGAACCTTAGGGATGAGGGAAAATACCCAAAGATTAAACTGGGAAGGCATTCATATCCCAAGTACAGAAGGCCTTCAGAGAGCATAGGCAGTGCAAAGTTGGGTGCTTCCAAAGGGAGCAGCAGCTCTGTGCAGACCTCCTGGGTCACAGGTGGGTGCAAAACTTATACCTTGCAGTGTATGCCGAGAATGAAGTACTTAGACTAATTCTAGCTGAGTGGAGTTGGGGAGCAGCTCTTCTGAGAGAGTCGGCCTTAGTTAGCATCCCTCTGCCAAGTATTTATTGAAAGGGCTTGTTTTAGCTACAAACATCCACTAGATGGCTTTTTGAGGTCAGGTCATGAGACACATAATGACCTTGTACAACACTCACACCGCATTCTCAACAGGCTGTTTTCAGCGTTATCACATCACACACTCCACTCCCTGTCTTGTTGTCAGGGTGCAGGAGTTTCGTTCTCATGCACAAATAACATGCACACAGTGCCTGAGTTTCTTCCATGCCCTGACCTCAAATGCCTTGTACATAAGCTTGAATATGTTGCTGTGCACCCCCCACAGTGGGCTTCACAGAGGGGCTTGCAAAAGGATCAACTTCTTGGTGTGTGATTCTCTGGCTCACAGGCAGCTGTATGCAGGCAAGGTGCATTTTAGTTTCTCTGTCTAGAAGGCTGTGGACAGGTTATAGGCAGACCAAGGTTACAAAGTCACAGAGATCACTTTCTGGGCTTGCGGCTGAGGTAGGCTCTACCAGATGTTCTCATATCCAAGGCTGACTAGAGACAAACATGAGTTATATAGAATAAGATGTAGGCCTGGCATGGTGGCTCACATGTGTAATCCCAGCACTTTGGAAAGCCAAAGTGGGCATATCACTTGAGGCCAGGAGAACCTCATCTCTACTAAAAATACAAAAATCAGCCAGGTGTGGTGGCACGCACCTGTAATCCCAGTTACTCAGGAGGCTGAGGTACGAATTGCTGCAATGGGCTGACATTGCACCACTGCACTCCAGCCTGGGTGGCAGAGTGAGATGCTGTCTTAGAAAAAGTTGTAAAGTCAAGTAAACTAGAAAAAATATATACCCACTTGGCCATGCATGGTGGCTCACGCCTGTAATCCCAGCACTTTGGGAGGCTGAGGAGGGCGGATCACGAGGTCAAGAAATTGAGACCATCCTGGCCAACATGGTGAAACCCCGTCTCTACTAAAAATACAAAATTTACCTAGGCGTGGTGGCGTGTGTCTGTAGTCCCAGCTACTTGGGAGGCTGAGGCAGGAGAATTACTTGAACTCAGGAGGCGTAGGTTGCAGTAAGCCGAGATCGCACCACTGCACTCCAGCCTGGCGCCTGGCAACAGTGAGACTGTCTCAAAAAAAAAAAAAAATCTCTATATATCGATATATATCTATATGTACCCACAGACAAATTTCCTGGGGTTTCCTACTAGATAAAATCCAAGTTCCACATCGAGACTCAACTAAACAGTCATTTTCTCTGTGATTTGGACACTGACTGCCAAAGCAAGGTTGAATAAAGAATGACTTCTCCTCCTTCGGTAGGCCAATAGTAGAGGTCTTTGACCTGGCCCAGTGGATCGTTGTTTGTGTGCTTTTGGTTAAAGAAACCACCAGTGACTTTAGGGGATTTTAGAAACTGATGGAAGAGAGAATTAAACTAGCTGTAGAGTCATTTACAAGATTTCATGACAAATAGCTGGAGTCTTTGGATAAAACAAACAGAACCATAGAGCAGAAGCCTTCAGAATGTGGTAGTTATCACTGAACATCCTGGAAGACCATCGAGGTGCACTTGCAGTTACATTTTTTTTCTTTTTTTTTTTTGTGACGGAGTCTCACTCTATTGCCCAGGCTAGAGTGCAGTGACATAATCTTGGCTCACCGCAACCTCTGCCTCAGCCTCCCAAGTAGCTGGGATTACAGGCATGAACCACTACACCTGGCTAATTTTTGTATTTTCAGTAGAGATGGGTTTTACCATGTTGGCCAGGCTTGTCTTGAACTCCTGACCTCAGGTGATCTGCCTGCCTGAGGCTCCCAAGTGCTGGGATTATAGGCGTGAGACACCGTGCTTGGCCAGCACTTGCAGTTTCAAGGAAATGGATTTCCAAATTTCAACTTCCATTTTGCTCTCCCCTGAAATTGGTCAGCTTGAAACAAGTTTGACTATGCAATGGTCCTCTTTCTATTCCTCCTCCTTTTATATTTTACAAGAGAAAATATACCTTTCTGGCATCCTAATTTAAACTACAGCTCCTTGCTCCCAGGTGGTAAAAATCTCTTTGCACTTAAAGATATATAAAAATATTTTGTTTCAGGGAAATCTTTCAAAAAAGTATCAAGGCATTTTTGTCCATTGACAGGTCAATGGATAAACAAAATGTGATATATACATACAAACCAATATTATTCAGCCCTCAAACGGAAGGAAATTCTCACAACATGGATGGACCTTGGCTCAGTGCAATAAGCCAATAACAAAAAGACAAAACATTGTATTATTTCACTGACATAAAGTACTTAGAGCAGTCAAAATCACAGTCAGAAAGTAGAATGGTGGTTCCCAGGGGCTGGAGAGATGAGAGAATGAGGAGTTACTGTTTAATGGGCACAGAGTTTCAGTTTTGCAAGATGAGAGTTTTTAAGATAGATGATAGTGATGGTTGCACAGGAATATGAACATACTTAATATTATTGAACTATACACCCCCAGAATGGTTAAAATAGGACAAAGGGGGAGAAAAAAAGTAGTCAAGGCTTTCTAAACCCAAGAGGATCTTGTCTAATATGAATTTTTTTTTTTTTTTGAGACGGAGTCTCATTTTGTCCCTGAGGTTGGAGTGCAGTGGCAGGAACTTGCTCATTGCAACCTCTGCCTCCTGGGTTCAAGCTATTCTCCTGCCTCAGCCTCTGAAGTAACTAGGATCATAGGCATGTAACATCACACCTGGCTAACTTTTTGTATGTTAGGTAGAGACAGGGTTTCACCAAGTAGGCCAGGCTGGTCTTGAACTCCTGACCTCAAGTGATCCACCTACCTTGGCCTTCCAAAGCACTGGGATTACAGGTGTGAGCCACCGCACCCAGCAGGAACCTTACATAACATTTTAAAGATTTTCTGTGCTTTTTAAAAAAATGTCAAATAAAATGAAATATTTACTCCAATTGCAGTCGTT